CCCAGCCCCACACATCCCCAGCCGTGGCCACCAGCTTCCCTGCCTGCTGCCCACCGGGAGGTGCTGGGGCTGCAGGGGCAGGATGAGGCCCTGGTGTATGGGTGCCTGCTGCTTCTTGGCTTGCTCTGGGATGGGACTGTAAATCGCCGCTTTTTTCGGAGGCTGTGGTTTGCTGCCAGCGGCATTTGCTAGTGTGGAGGCTGCAGCCGTGGGAGGCTGGGCTGGGGTGCCCATGGGTGCTGTGCTGGTGGGAAGCAACCTTGGTTGTAGCAGCTTCCCCCGGGGATCCCGCTCCCTAGGGCTGTGGTGGAGATGGCCTCACTGGCTGAGTCACCAGTTTGTTCCCGATGGCTTCACCCCGGGCTGATGGTTGGGTGACCTCATGGGTGTGAGGCATGAGGAAGTGTCATGCCCAGCCTGGCAGCCCCTGCCCTGCGCGGCGCTCAGGGCACTGGAGAGCTGCTGTGAGGGTTTGGAGCTGTTGTAGCTCCTCACCTGGCAGCCCTGGGGACCCAGCACCACCAGGGACTGTCTCAGCTGGGGTTGCCTGTGCAGGAGCTGTATCCACAGTGCACAGCCTGGAGGTGTCTTGAGGATAAAATCCCAGGATGTGGCCAGGAGCAGGGAGTGTTTCACCTCACCGTGGATGAGTGGCACCACAGCAGATGCTGCCTGGGCATGGACACCACCTCTGCTGAGAGTCCCCCGAGATGCAGGAGGGAGCAGCCCAGAGAGGTGCTGGTGACCTGGATGAGCAGTTTTCCCAGGGACTGGCCAGTGTCTGAAGGCAGCCGACCTGCCGAAGAGAAGCAAAAAAAAAACATGTCACTTGTGCCATCCCGCACAGCGCTGGCATGGAAGCTGTTCCCTGGGGCTCTCAGGCCAGAAATTCCCCACGGACATGGGACATCTCCACGTCGAGCTGGAGCAAGGCAGCTCCCTTTCGGGGAGAAGGAGACAGTGGTAGCTGAGGCAGGGTGTTTGCCAGCACTGTGTGGGCAGGAGCTCCCTCTGGCTCTGTGGGTAGATGCTCCCATCCGCCCTCCCACGCCTGGAGACGAAGCATTGGCCGTGGCTTTGCTTTCTGCAGGGTGCAGGCAGCATGTGGGGTGCTGCCTGCTGTGCGGGGTGCCAGCAGGCAGGGCTGGAGGAGCACTGGAGCCAAGTCACAACTGGGCTCATGGGGACCTGCCCCAGCAGCAAGGGAGTTTGGGCTGGTGGCAGTGGCTGAAATGACCCGAATTCGGAGCCGTGCTGGACACTGAGGGGAGCTGACTGGGGGAGATGCCTGACCAGGGGCAAGCGGCTGTGGGGAAGCAGAATGCTCAGGGTAAGGTTTATGGCGCTGGCGGCAGCCAACCTGGCTTTTATTAAAGCTTTCTTCAGAGCCTTGCTAAAGCCTTTCCAGATGTGAGCTGCCAGGGCCATCAGAGCCGGGGGGGACCCAGGGGACGGCAAAGGGGAAATCGTATGTGGTGGTTGCAATTAAACGCACTCTGCAGAGCAGGGGAGCCCGTGG